AAAAGATTGAAAATTGACCATTCTTTTTCATCATTCACCAAAATAAACTCAAAATGGATCAAAGACCTAAAGATTAGGCCTGAAACAATAAGTCTTCTGGAAGAGAATATAGGCAGTACACTCTTTGACATCAGTTTCAAAAGAATCTTTTCGGACACTGTAACTCCTCAGTTGAGGGAAACAATAGAAAGAATAAACAAATGGGACTTCATCAGACTAAAGAGCTTCTTCAAGGCAAGGGAAAACAGGATTGAAACAAAAAACTGCTCACTAATTGGGAAAAAATATTTACAAGCCACTTATTCGACAAAGGGTTAATCTCCATAATATACAAAGAACTCACACTGCTTAACAACAAAAAAACAAACAACCCAATCAAAAAATGGGCAGAGGACATGAACAGACATTTCTCAAAAGAAGATATGAATATGGCCAATAGACACATGAAAAGATGTTCATCATCGCTAGTCATCAGGGAAATGCAAATCAAAACTACACTAAGATATCACCTTACACCCGTTAGATTGGCAAAAACATCCAAAACCAAGAGCGACAAATGTTGGAGAGGTTGTGGAGAAAAAGGAACCCTCATACACTGTTGGTGGGAATGCAAACTGGTACAGCCACTATGGAAAACAGTATGGAGATTTCTCAAAAAGTTAAAAATAGAAATACCCTATGACCCAGCCATCCCATTCCTGGGTATCTATCCTAAGACCCTGGAATCAGAAATCTCAAGAGTCCGTTGCACCCCTATGTTCATCGCAGCATTATTTACAATAGCCAAGACGTGGAACCAACCTACATGCCCGGAAACTGATGATTGGATAAAGAAGATGTGGTATATATACACAATGGAATACTACTCAGCCATAAAAAAAGACAAAATTGGCCCATTCACAGCAACGTGGATGGACCTCGAGGGTATTATGTTAAGCGAAATAAGCCAGTCAGAGAAAGACGAACTCTATATGACTCCACTCATAGGTGGAAGTTAGTATATTGATAAGGAGATCTCATCGGTGGTTACCAGGGAAAAGGGGGGGTGGGGGGAGGGCACAAAGGGGGAAGTGGTGTACCCACAACATGACTAACAAAAATGTACAACTGAAATCTCACAAGGTTGTAATCTATCATAACATTAATAAAAAAAAAAAAAAAAGGAAAAAAATTTGCACTTGCTCCTTCTTTCTATCGTCTATTTCTTGCTGAGATTTTCTAAATTTGTTCATTTCAAGAATGTTTGACCTTAAAGTTCCTGGAACATTTTTATATACCTGTTTCAGAATCTTGTCAGATAATTACAACATCTGTGTCATCTCAGCAGTGGCATCTGCTGGTTGTCTTTTTCCTTGAGAGTTGAAATTTCCCTAGTTCTTTCTATGTTGAGTAATTCTGGATTATTTCCTAGGTATTTTGAAACATTATAAGACTCTGGGTCTTATTTATTTCATATGGAGAAGGTTAATATTTTTGTTTTAGCAGGCAAACAATCTGATTGTAACCTGAGCTATAAATCCCAATCAGTCTTCTGTGGTTGCAGTTTCAATGTCAGTTCCATTTTTAAAACACTGCAGTGCTATTAGGATATCCCACGTGTGGGATACGGGGTGGCTGGCCTCGAAACTGGGTGCTGGTCTACCTCTTAGTTCAGTTCTCAAAGTTTTAGGTATGCTGTTTGGGATCAGATCCATACACTTGCAACTCGGGTGAGCCTAAAAGCCCCAAAACAATTTTACAGGGCTGCTTTCCCTAGCTCCTCCCTCTCTGCAATTTTTGGCTCCCGAGGGTTCCAGTTTTTGGTTGTCTGGCTGACAGCTGGGGCTTTAGTTACCCAGCTCTGCTGCATACTTCATACAAGTGCATCTTTCTCCAGTACCAAGCAAAGGACAGAAAGAGAAAAATACAACACAGTTTGCCCCACCCTCTTGAGGCCTCTCCTCCTCTGACTGGAGAGGAAGGTTCCCCACTTTCAGAGCTGTCGGTACCTGGGGGGCCCAGCTGCTGCTGTGACTGCCACCTTTGCGGACTGCACGGGGCCTGGGATATAAGAGAAGGCAGAAAAGAAAAAGAGAACTCGGGCATTTCCTCTACCATTTCTAAGTGTTACTAGTCCTTTTTCCTTGCTCCTCAAGCCAGAACTGGAGGGCTTCTCTTTGAATTCTCCTTGTCATGCCTCCACGTCCACTTGCAGGTTTTAGGTGGCCGTGAGCCTAGCTTGGGGAATACCAGGAGAAAAACTGGAAGTTCACTGCCAGTTTGGTGGTACTTAAAATTCGAGTCTTCTCCAATTGTTCTGCTACTATATACCTTCCTGAGTCAACAAAATGTGCTTCGTGCATTCTGTCTAGGTTCTACAGCTGCACAGTAGAAGAAACAGAGTGGCGTGTGCTTACTCCACCTTACTGGGAACTGGAATCTCTCCAGTTGAAGCATTTAAAAACCTCCTTAGGTGGTACGAACACACAGTATAGGAAGAGAACCTTTACCATAAGGAAATGATGGCGGATATAGCTGGAAAGGATAATTGAGGTCAAAATATCACATGCTCTCAATGCAAGACAGAATCTTTACATAATTTAAAGATGAGTAAGAATGCAATGATGGTCTTTTTTTTGAGGAAGATTAGCCCTGAGCTAACATCTGTGCCTGCCCATCTTCCTCTACTTTATATGTGGGACAGCTGCCACAGCATGGCTGCAACTGGTGTGTAGGTCCACACCCGGGTTTGGAACCGGCAAACCCGGGGCTGTCAAAGTGGAATGTGCAAACTTAACTGCTACGCCACTGGGCTGGCCCCCAATGACGGTTCTGATCTGTCAGAACCACAACTATACATTAAGACTAATCTGGAGATGTATAAAACAGATTACACAGATGAAAAGAACAAAGTACAAATACAAGGCTACTTCCATAGTTCAGGTAAGAGGCATTAAAGACCTGAAAAAGAGTAGTGTCAAGAAGAAGGCTGCTGACAGAATGACTCTGTAGAAGAATCTATAGCTCCTTGGGAACTAATTAGATTAAACAGCCAAAAAACCCCAATACACTAGCCCCCCTTTATCTGTGGTTTTGCTTTCCATGGTGTCAGTTACTTGCGGTCAACCATGGTCCAAAAATCACACTATGTCACAACACCTACATCATTCACCTCACTTCATCTCATCACGTAGGCATTGTAACACTTCACATCATCACAAGGGTGAGTACAGTACAATAAGGCATTTTGAGAGAGAGACTACATTCACATAACTTTTATTACAGTACATTATTATAATTGTTCTAGTTTACTATTTATTATTATTATATAATTGTTCTATTTACTATTAATCTCTTATTGGGCCTAATTTATAAGTTAAACTTTATCACGTATTTTATTTTTTTGCATGTATAGGAAAAAATATAGTAGATATAGAGTTTGGTACTATCCGCAGTTTCTGGCGTCCACTGGGGGTCTTGGAATATACCTCCACGGATACTACCATAATGATCTACTGTAATGATAAAGGGAACTACTGAAATGAGAAGAGTTTAAACCTAGTTGACTGAAAGAATTACATTTTCAGAAACAGGAAAGTCAGGCAAAGAAGACAGGCAGGGAAAAATAAGTTTGGTTTTTGACATATATTAACTTAGAGTTATAAGTGAGATTTATGTAGAGATGTCCAGCAGGAAAAGGAAAATACAAACCTAAATACAAGAATTCAGGATCAGAGATACAGATCTGGGAGTCCCTGTTCAAAGAGGAAAGTTAGAACATTGGGAGGAAGAGATCACTGAGGAGTACACTATAGCAAGAAAGCAGCCCAAACCAAGAACTCTGGAGAACAGGAAGGAAGACTACCTTCCCTGCTTGGAAATAAGACAGAAAAGGAACATGCAGGAAACTGAAAAAGGAAGAGTACAGTGGCATGGAGATGGCTTAGGAAGACTGCCTCAAGAAGGTAGATCTGAAAATGAATTCCAAACGTTGTAAGGCTGGGGGATCACAAGGGAGTGGAACACTGGGCGTGGTATGTTTCCCTGCCATCCTTCTCTCCCTTATCCATCACATCTTCCTTTCTCTCTACTACATCATTTCCACCAGCACTCCACTATGCTTCGGCATGAGTCATCTTATAAACAAATAAGCAAGCAACCACACACACACCTTCCCATATTGTCACTCTCTTCTGTTACCTATGCATCTTTCTGTTCCCCATGATTGCCAAATTTCTGGTGTTGTCCACCTGGAATGCCTTTACTCTCCCATTCTCTCCTCACCGCTCAACTATGACCTGGTTTCCAATACTGCCACACTACGGAAACTGCCTGTCAAGTCTATGAAGTCAAATCCAATTGTTATCATACCTGATGTATCAGCAGCACTGACTCTGAAACCCTGGACAAATCACCTAATTTTTGAGACCATTTTCTTCTCTATAAATAAGGGGGAAAATACTAGATTAAATAATCCACAAGTTTGAATTCAGCTTTAAGGTTTTATAATAGTAAATTTAATTATAAAATATTTCCTAAAATGTGAAGCTAAGTGAAAGAGCAGCATTTATCTGTGTTGAAATATTTTTTCCCAGGTTTATTGAGGCATAATTGACAAGATTATATATATTTAAAGTGTACATGTGATCATTTGATACACATATACATTATGAAATGATTACCACAGTCAATGTAATTAACATATCCAGCCCCTCACATAGTTACCTTTTTTCAGGGAGAATGGCTGTCTTGAAATATTAAACGGGAATGAAAAGAAAAGAAGGTCACTTTTACTTTCCTCATATGCAGGCTGTTGAAATGGCCACAAAGTACCTAGTTAGAAGTTATCTGTATTTGCCCTCCATTCTCTGCATAAATTGTAATTTTTCTCCTTGTGTTTTGGATCCCCTCTTCCGTATTAATGATTAGAAGTCATTACATCAGCCCCTTATTGGAGTTTTTATATCTTCAACTGTTTTGTGGCCACTCCAGATATTACAGAGTCAAATCTAACTACTTACCAATGAAGCTTCTGTAATTCCTTCTCATTCCATTCTCCATCTTGAGTTAAACCAGGTAAACGTTCTAAGGAATGCCTGTTGGTCTTATCAGATCCCATCGCCTCAATAATTGGAAACTCCTTCCTAATATGGGATTTCTGAAGATTTTCTTTAGCAGAACATCTAGCTTTCTTTTGCTTGATATGAAATTCATTTTCACTTTCTTCAATTTCAGATTCAGAAATCACTGGCATTTTCCTTGTGGTGTTTCTCGTGCTTTTTCTCAGGTGAACTACTGTTTCTCTGGTATTTCTTGCTCTGGTTTTCTTAACAGCTCCAGCTTTCCTTCTAATTTCCTTTTCTGTTTCACTCTCTTCACTAGACAAATCGGATGAAGACCGATGGTTGCAAAATGACATAGTTACTTGATTTTCTATTTCATTCAATTTTGATAACTTTGTATTTTTCTTAACATCAGAGGCGACCATCTGCTCCTTTTTAGGACGAGTTATTTTTATTTTCTGGTTGCCTGTGAGTAAATCACATTCACTGCGATCATCCTTGTTTTCACCTTTATGACCCACACTACACTCAAATGCATTTTCTAATGTCTTTGTGGGCTTACTGATAGAACTTGTAGTTTCATTTAAGTCTGATTCACTTTCTTTTTGATGCTTTGGCACTGCAAAATCGGTTAGTGCCTTAATAGTTCCACAGGAGAGATTATACTTCATGCATTTTCGTTCTATCATTTTTTTAGAGTTAAGTGGTGTGACTAAAATATAAGCTTCCTTGTGATTAACAGCCATATATTTTCTTTCTTTGTCTGAGGAAAACTGTTTCCTTGATGTTAGAATATCAACGGATACATTCAATTCTTCAGTTCTCTCTTTAATTTCATAAGACAAAACCAAAGATCAAAATCTCAAGTTAGCTATAAACAAAGTCTAGAAAAAATATTTTCACAAATAAAATATACTGTTTTGTTCCCCCACAAACTCCATTGTACACACTACTGTCAGACAAATCTTCCTAAAGCACCAGTCCGTTCAGATCACTGCCCTCCAACTGTAAACATACACTATTTCTTATACTCACCTATCCATGACTTCTCAGTCTACTTAGTGTCCATATGAGCTCCCATGCCGGGCCTTCAATAGAGTTCTCTCACTGCACTCAAATCTGAACCCCCTTCTATGCCTATTGGACCACTGTTTCTCAAGTTTTCTTGAGTCTCAACTTTCATTAATGTCTTTCATCCTACTTGGAAAGTTTCCTTCACTCGTCTACAAACCAAATCATCACCTGCTTCTGTTTTATTCCCTAACGCACCTAGTCCACAAACAGTCCTCATTCCTTCAACTGAATGAAAGCTCTCCATTAAATTTTCAGGATACTTTTAAATAATGTCATGTTTGACAATGTGCCCTGCATTATAATACTCACTTATCTTTCGACTAGACTGAAAAACCCTTAATGGTAAGAACTTTGTCCTCATTTTTGGACTTTTTTTGCTTGAGTTAGTACAGAGTCTTTCACATATACCATAGATGCTAAATAAATATTTGTTAAATCAATTCTTCAGAGGCAAAATGTTTAGGAGACATAAGAAAACCACTACGGTTGCTAAACCCTTACTAGGTAAGCAATATATGGAATAGAAGCTGTCCTAATTAAAGAGGGAGTTAGGAGAACATGGAACTCCATCTGCATGGCCCCATTCTCATCCCCAATGGTAGCCATAGAGACATACTTTTGCTGAATCCCCAAAACTCTATGAAGCATGGTGGGATAACAACTAATATAGAACTCGAGAATATTATACTATCACTAGTTACAGAAAGCAAATTAAGATGAGAGAAATTCTCTAATTTGAAACTTAAGACTACAGAAGCCAAACTAATTTCCAACTTCAAATCATCCAATTGCAATTATAAATATATATAAACCATAAATCATCACACCAATCATCACAGTGAAATACTGCAACAATGCACACATATTATGTGCCATTTTACAAGATGGAAGACTGATGGGTAGCACTGATGCTGGGGAGAAGAGCAGCCCCCAAATCATGATGCATGGAGAAGTGGTACTAACCAAAATAATCAAGAAAGTTTCTGGAAGATTCCTCAATGGAATCACAGATCTTGATATTATGAGGAGAGTGCTTTCTTCTAATTCCTCATAAAAATCTGATTCAAATGTTCAATTGGGAATTGAAAATTTTGAACTTTCTAATTTTGAACAAAACATTTTTATTCATTTTATTAAATAATTTGAATAAAGATTCATCCTATTATTGTTACTTTAACCTAAGCTGTATGAAGTTAGTAGTCTAAGTAGTACTGCTTTCCATCCTACTTCTTTAAACACTTATAAATGTTCTTCACTTTCATTACTTTTTATTTATAAGAAGAAATAAAATAGAAAAATATGCTATTAAGATGATGGGTTTAACCAAGTGTGAAATTTTAAATTTGCTAATATGTAGAGAAAAGGCTTTTTAAATTCTGATATGTAGGATTTCAACGAAATCACCCTGAAAATCTACACTTTCACAAAACTAAAGCACGGTATTAATTTGATAAAAGGATTCACAGTCTTTAAACATTCCTATAAGCATATTAAAATGATGTATACTTTCGTGATTTACACAAAGTTATTTAGTACCTAGATTAAAGGAGGCAAACCCATAAGTAAATCTGGTAAAGTAATGGATTATTTCATTACGCAAATCATCTTATGTAAAAAAAAACACAACAAAGCCAAGTATTTATAACCAATTGAAATAGATGGTTTACCATTTTAGATTTGGAAATTTATGACATCACTTTTATTATACTAAAAATATTTCAAATAGTAGCTTTCTACTTACTACAAATCCAATAAGGATATATTACCTTGATTCTGACTTCTAGTTATTCTTTCATTTGTTTTTCTTTCACAATTTTTGAGTTTCTTTGTAGACTTTTTATGTTCCTTTTCTCCAATTAATTCCTTCAAAACAAAGAGAGAACTTTTATTTTAACAATTATTAAACATGGCCTCAAGCATTTTCAGTGAGTTTCAAGCATACACATTTCTAGGCACTTATGGCTCTACACACTTCATTAGAGGAGGCGCTCAGAGACTCACCAGTCAAGCTTGAACTCTGGAAGCACCATGTGGGTATCCACTATCTTACATATGTCCTTTACTGATTTAATACTTGTGACGTTTCAGGTGCTTTTATGTATATACTTCCTTTAATTTAAACTTTACTCTAAGAGCTAAGACTTGCTATTGTTGCCTGCACTTTTCCAGTGAGACACTGGGAAAATAAATATCAAGTGCCAAAACTAATGAAAAGCTGATACTCAAACAGAACTCACGATTTCTGATCTGGTCCTGAACCTTTCAGGAGCATCGCGCCAGCCCTCTACATGTCAGCAGTGCACAGGAAAGCTTACCTCGGTCAGGAAGCCACGTCCTCCTCCATTCTGAATAGTAGTACTTATTTGGTCATCTGGGAGCCTTAGTGGTGGTTGATTTTGGTGATTACTATGGCAAACATTTAATTCTGTAGCTCCTGGCAACCTACCGTGCTTACTATTCTTCAGTTCTGTGAATACAAAGATGAGAATTCATTAAATGACCATTTAAAGATAAGCTGCCTTTCCACATTAAAGAATTCATTTTTAAAAAATCTGCCTAATACAATGTCACAAATACTCATTATAAGTTGATTATGATATAAATCACTCTGCATAGGGCCACGTTTTGTTCAAATCACTTTTATTCTCTTCAAAAAAAAAACCAAAGAAAACTAGACAGCCATATTATTCATTACCATCTGTTTTGGATCTCCTTTGTCATATCTAAAGGCAAAATACTAAGGTTAACCCATTTTGTAAATACAAATTCCTGTCCATCTTAACTGCATATCAACTAAACAGGAAGCTAATAACTCTATTTCCCTTATATTTCTTCGATTTCTACAGAATTCTTATCTTTCAATTAGTTTATGTACTCCAATGTATAACTAAATCTACACCAACTAAAATTTTGAGCAAAACCAAATTAAATAGTATACAATATAGGCTCAACAAAAGGTTACTGAGCTGAAATCCTACACAAGTTAAAAAGGACTCATAAAACTGTAAAAACATTTTGTCATTCTTCTAGAATAGAGGCTGTACTTGAAGGTACACAATGAATGGTCCTTGCTCTTGAGATTACCACAGTATAGTGAAAGAGGCTGATTTATAATAGATCATTTATAATATACTCTGGTGCGTGATAACAGAGATAAAGTGCTTTTATAGCAATACTGTGATACACTGATTATAGCACTAAATATGCAAAACCACATTTTAGGTAAATCATTAAAACACACACAATCACTTTATCTGAAATTATCATTGGTTGACACCTTTGCATAACCTTAGTTGTTTAATATTAGACACGGTTTTGTTTTATTTTAGTGGTTTTCTCATGGAAAGTGTAATGATAACAATAACAAAAACAACAGCACCAACCACCACCACTCAAAATAACACGTGACATGAAGACACTCAGTGTCTAAACAGTTTCGTAAAACAAAGATCTAATGAATCACTAGAAAATGATACATCCAAAACAGACTATCTGACTCTAAACTGAGCTTCCCAAGGGGAGGCATCTTGTCTTACTCACTCTAAGTTCCTAACAGCTAACACAGATCAAAGCTCATGGAAGGTGCTTTAAAAATGTCTGTTGAGGGGCCGGCCCAGTGGTGCAGCAGTTAAGTTTGCATGCTCCGCTTCGGTGGCCCGGGTTCACCCGGGTGTGGACATGGCACTGCTTGGCAAGCCATGCTGTGGTAGGTGTCACACTTATAAAGTAGAGGAAGATGGGCATGGATGTTAGCTCAGGGTTAATCTTCCTCAAAAATAAATTAATTAATTAATAAATAAATAAAAAGGAAAAGAAAAATTTGTTGAATGATTTTCCTGTGGAAATAGCCAGCATGTAAAATAGCTGAACTTTACTGAACTTTAGTCTTTTACATTTGTATTCTCAGTTTACCAATAATATTCACAATTTAGCTCAAATTCCTGAAAAACGCTGCTTTAAATGAAAAGGAATGATAGGGTAGAGAGATGATAAGATCTAAGGCTAAAGGAGATTAATAAATGATTGAAAGTGAGATATTCTTTTAGAGATTTTTAAATTTAGGAGTAAAAAAAGAATATAGCAGGTGGTGTAGCCCCAGGACTCCAGAATACTAAAGATAGTTTAGCAATGACAATAAGCAATGTGCCAAATTCATAGGAATAGAATGATTTTTGATGAAATGAGGGAGGGTTGAGAAGGAACTGAAGCAACAGTAGGGAGTGCATTTTTGCTAGCTCTGGGCAGGCAGTCGTTCACATGTTTAATTTATTCCTGTCTCTCTACTAGAAAGGACAGCAAAGTTTCAAAGGGAGGGGCAGGGGAGTGAGGTGTGGCAGGTGAGAGAGTGACATACATGCACATTTATATCCAGTATGGTGCCACGTTTTTGGCAGAAGCAGCCGTGAACTCTTGAAGTTCTGTAAGGCTCTTCGTTATAAGGTCAAGGAAGAATTGGCAGAAATTTATACAACAGATTCTAGTAACTTTGGCTCGTCTATATTATCTAGATAGGGCTGTAAGTTAATCTTCCTACCTTTTTTTTGGCATGGGATGAGGTGGGTGGGACATGAGGCAGATTATAGCTTTGGCAGAGTTGAAGAGAACAGTTCCGCCAGCTACCTTCATGGCAAATGGTCATTCAAAAACACATGCCATTTTCTCCATGAAAGCAAACTGGCCTTGTCTATTAACAAGAATGAAATTAGTACAAAAATACAGGCATCTTTAATATAGGTTTGAGGTAGGCTGGCAGCCTAAACACCTTGGGTCCAGGACACAATCCTCTTTCACTGGTATGTTCATCGGTGTTCTTGGTGTTCTGATTAATTAAAAGGTAATATTTAATGAAGTAAGCTGAACGCTGACTATGAGCAGTCTGCATTGCAATTTCTCCTCCCTAACTAGTGAAAAAGCAGGAATTTCAGGGCAGTGTAAGAAGCCAACGCTGCTTACACTGTAGACAACCGCACACCACGGAGCTCACGTAAGCTTTACCATCATCCTAACAGAGAAGAAAAGAGCAAACATACCCCCCTGATGACAGTCGAGGTCGTAAGTGGTGCTGGTTCTTTGGAGAACATCTTTTTGGCTTTCTCCTGCATCATTTTTCACTGATTTTTGTGTGTTAGGGACAAATCTTTTCATTTTCTGTTTTTGTCTGGTCTTTCCCTCTTTCTTTTCACAAGCCCTAAAAGCAAGGATAGTATTTTTTCTCTAATACTGGTTTTCAAAAAAACAAAGCAAAAACTGAGACCCACAAATAAACCAACTCCCTCAGATAAATCATTCCCCCAGCAAAGATTACTTTAATCTTATATTATTTAAGCCATCATGACTTCCACCCCTTCCCCTGTAGAGAACTCAGGTGCAACACCTTAAGGCAAAAGACTCCAAGAGAACCTCTGAAGCGCTCCCTACTCTCATCCTTCCTTCATAAGCTGATGCTATAAGAAAATAACAGGACAAATCCTGCCAGTCACCTACTTTTGTAAATACATTTACTGAAACACAGCCACATTCATTCCTTTAAGTACTAGCAACAGTGGCTTTTCCCCTACAAAGGCAGAGTTGAGTAGGTGCAATAGAGGTAGCATGGCCATAAATATACTATCTGGCCCTTTACAAAAAAAAATGCTAGGCCTTGTTATAAGTTATTACAGTGTACTGTTATTAATTTATATCACTGTATTCCCTGTGAGTTCCTTAAGGGCAAGAATTCATCAAATTCTTTGTTCTCCCGGTGCCGACAGCGTCTGCTAAGCAGCTGACGCTCAATAACTACTAAGGATATGAATGAAAGAAAAAGGACCAAGAACTTCAGACTCGTGTTTCAGAGCAACAAGCCTCTTAAAGGGTAGGTGACTGACGATGACTCCTCGAAATACATCAAAGGTTTTATTTTCCTTTTAGATTTATTCCACATGACAGAAATTCTAGCAGTGTTATTGCCTCCTGAAAGCCTGAGATCAAAGAGAGCTTCAAAACTGGAATTTCTAAAAAAAGAAATTAAACTCAGCTTACACTGGGTACATGAGCACATACATTTGTAAAACCTCAACAAATTTTATACCTAAAATGGGTGCATTTCATCAAATGTTAATTATACCTCAATGAAGTTGTTTTTTAAAAGTTAAAAAGTACTTTACCTTAATTGTTCTAGAAAATTACCAATGTACTCTTTCCATTTTTCTGGAAATCCAAACATAAACTTCCTTATGAGATAATTTGGATATCCTAATATGATGATAAACAAAAAAAAAAAATCTAAAAGCTTAGAATTTTAAAGAGAGGTCATTAATTCATTAAATCATTCAAAAAATACATAATTATTGCTTACAATGTGCCAGCCACTGTTACAGATACCGAGGATTCAGCAGTTAACCAAACAAACAAAAACCCTGCCTTCATGGACCTCGCCTTCTGGTGTGAAACAGAAAGCAAACCAGCAAGTCAACCATCTTGTTTATTAGACGGTTATCGATGCTACGGAGAAAAATTATGCAGTTAAAGGGGGTGGGGTACAGTGTGTTCATGCTGGCCGAGAATGGGGGCAGGAAGCATTTTAAAAAACGGTAGTCAGAGAAGTTCTCACTGAAATAGCACGATCTGAGCAAAACTCTGAAGGATGTGAGAGAATGAGCCTTGTGGCAAAATGGGGCTAAAACACTGGAAGCAGAGGGAGCAAGGTGGCAGGCTCTGAGGTAAGAGTGTGCCCGGTCTGTTTGAAGGATTACAAAGAGATGAGCGTAGCTGAGCTGGAGAGGGTGAGGCATGACTAGGAGGCTACTCAGAAGTGTACTGGAAGAAGTGGGGGACCCTGGGAGATTATAATGCCTTGGGGTCATTCACGGATCTGGTCTTTTAGTTTGGGTGAGACTGGAAGCTACGGAAAGATTCTGAGCAGACGAGCTTTGACTTTCTTTAACAGGACTGTGTTAGCTGCTATTCTGAGAAGAGTATGTGAAGTACAAGGGGAGAAACAATGAGACCAGTTAGGACATTACTGCAATGATTCAGACAAAAGATGATGAAGGAGGTGGGGACCACAGCGGTGCACCAGAGGCCTGGCTTCTACATATATTACAGAGATAATGCCAATAGGATGTACTGACACACTAGATGTAGGTGTGAGAGAAACTGAGGATTAAGGATGTCTCCAAAGATTGTGGCTCACCATTCGAAGCACGGAAAGAGAGAGAAGACTGCAGGCTAAGCAGATTCAAGGGAGAAAAATCAGCTTCCAGACATTCTAAGTTTGAGATGCCTGCAGACATCCTAGAGATGTCAAATGGGCAAATGGAAAATGAGTTGAGTGGCTAGGGGAATATTCTTTATAATGACTTGTTTTTTTTTTTCAGGGAAAGATTCACCTTGAGTTAACATCTGTTGCCAATCTCCCTCTTGGTTTTTTTTCCTCCCCAAAGCCCCAGTATATGGTGGTATATCCTAGTTGTTAAGTCCTTCTAGTTCTTCTGTACGAGCTGCTGCCACAGCATGACAACTGACAGACAGGTGGTGTGGTTCCACAACAAGCAAATGAATCTGGGCTGCCAAAGCAGTGAGAGACTGAACTTTAACAACTAGGCCATCAGGGCTGACTCAGAATAATCTTGGTTAGAGATATAAGTTTGGCATTTATCACCAAATAGATGAGGTTTAAAGCCTAAAAGAAATCAGCACAACACTGTGTGTAGAAAGAGCCCTAGTCTACCCCCTTATTTAGAGGCAAAGAAGAAAGAGAAAAATAAGTAAAGCAACTAAGAAGGAACAGGGAGCGAGGCAGTAAATCAGAGTACGGTATTCCAGAAGCTAAGTAAAAAAAGTGTTCCAAGGAGGTACGTGTGATTCACTTTGTCAAGTGTATACTGGATTTAGCAATGTGGGGGCCACTGGTGACTTTAATAAGGGCTGTTTTGGTGAAAAATTGGGGATTAAAGTATAAATAAAGAGAATTCAAGAAAAAATGAGAAAGAATTCAAGAAGAATTAAATATAACAATCTTCTTACTTGTTTTGCTGTAAATTAGAGCAGTAGTGGCTGAAAGAAGTGTGGTTAAACGAGGGGGGTTTTTGACAAGAGCAGGGAGAATTACTGTAGTGATATCCTTCAGTAAAAGAGGAAAAAAGGGAGCTAGCGTACAAATGGAGAGGCTGACACAGACAGAACCACGGGAAGCTCCTCGTAATAAAAGCAGGTACAGACACAAGCAGCTGGGTAGACGTGGAGCAGAAGTTCTCTGCGGATTGTTTACCGCTCAGGTGTTCCCCTCCCTCCAGCCGCCACTGGAGAGACGGAGGGAGGAGGTACTGGATGACGAAAATATGGTAGAAACCACACTTGCTGCTGGTAATCGTAAATCTAAAGTAGGCTGCACATGTGCATTCTTCAGCCACATTAGCGGCATGCAAGGCACGGGCAGAAAATTAGATTATACCGGAACTGGGGTTGTGCTGGGCAGGCTCAATGAGAGGAATGAAGGAGTTAAAAGCAATTCCTTACAAATAAGGACGATTTTACTTGAGTTTTTTTGTCACTGGACTTATTTAAACTGTCAATAAGAGTGATTAAATCAGCATATATCATAGTTTTATATAATATGGTCAATTCTTTAATTTTTAGTTTTGATTGATTCATAATTTTAAGAAAGCTAATTTAAAGTGTTATGCATATTACTGTTAGAAATATGGTTGCTTCACATATAAAATAGTTTATCAATTAATAATGACAGTCATTACCTGCTTCTTTCATGGAAATGCGGTCTATCATTCCTTTTAATATATAAATGTTGCCTGATAAAGTCCTCAGTTTGTTGTGCTTAATCCGTTCTATAATTGCATTACTGTGCCAATATATGTCAGTGATGTCTCTAGGAGAACAAACAGCTTAGTTAAGGCCAAAATAGTCACATTTTATTAGTAGTCACAATGTACAAATATAAAGCATACAAATTGATAATAGAGTAATAAATTTGTACTCCAGATACACTCACAATATTATTAATCTAATTACAAAACATCTGGGGCCAAATATTGCAGCGGAACTCAAATGCTTGGCTAATGTGATCCTCAGAGTAAGTGCCAAGAAACTGTACTGTGGCCAAACGATATCCCTAGTATAAAATATCTCATTAGCAAGGATGCAGGGGCCGTCTCTAAATATCTGGTGCTGACAAGGCTTGCAACTCCATCTTAACTGATGCTGGCTTCCAAAGAATATTTCCCCGTCCCTCTCCTCAGGACCCAAACTGCGCTCGCTTTCATGCAGGTATGTAGTTTGGATCCATCTAATGTTGTGTTTTTTATTACCCTCACCACACAGACCTTCTCTTTGGAAAGTACCCCAAAGAGGTTCCAGTTTGGAAAAAATGAACTGCAGTATCAAATCACTGACCCACAAATCTACTCTTCGTATTTCCTGAAATGAAGCTAAGAATAAATATAAAATAGAAAGAACAAAATATGAAGAGGTAACAGACAAATGTTGAACATTCTCCAATTCATCAGATAACTAATAATAAACATACTAAATATAAGCATAATAAGTAAGAAAGTTAAGTTCCTTTTATTTGGTCAAATGAGATTAAACTCATACATTATACTTTAATACAATATTACTTTTCATCTTCTGTTCTTTTTGCTTTATTTTAACAAACATTTAAATAGCACTCTAAAACTACTGTTCTCAAGTCTTACAAATATTAACTTGTTTAATCTTCAAAATAACACAAAAGGTTGGTAATATTACTATCACTATTCTGCAGATGAAAGAACTGAGACTGAAGGAGGATAAGGTCCTTGCCCTAGTCACACAGCCAGCGAGCAGCAGCCAGGGAATTCCAATGAAGGCAATCCACGCTGTCTCTTGGACATTAAGGAAACAGACACGAGGCAGGCAGAAACAGAGTGGGCAAGACAGATTTTATATACCCAATTTATAGACTCCCAGGAAAGGACCTTCAATAGTGATATCCTGTATTGTTTATTACAAAATTTTTTTTAACACTAAGAAATTGGATTTTAAGAATAGGGAGTGGTGCTAATAGAGTAGCAGAATTAGGCAAAGGCCACTTACCTTATAATACTTTCAGTTTAGGGAGAACCAGAAAGTGCCAATGATTACTTAATATGTGGCTGTATGGCAAAGTTTTAAATAATTTTGATTCATTTTTCTGGATCAGTAATTTATATCTGGTTGTGCCAACTTAGATGTGAGAATCTGGACTGAAATGCATGTAGTAAATATTAACTAATCATATACAACTAAGCAGATAACACCAGTCCACTTATTACAGGTTCCAAAAAGAATAAAGCGCTGTGTATACAAACTTGAGCTGTCACTATTTTAAAAATAACTTGAGTTAACTGGCAAAAACAAGAAAGCTGGTTACAATCAACACAGCTAGGATGTGCATGGTTATTTTACTTTTTTGCCTTCAGTTTGTAACCTTGTTAGAAATGCACTGTTTTGTAGGAAGATGCTATTTCTCATGCATCTCCTTTTAAGCTCTTAACACTCAAGTATCTTATTTTATTATAAATTTTATTAAAAGAATATTGAAATGTTATACTTACATCAGTTTTCCTTCTACACATACAGCAGTGTTATCATTGATGATTTTAATCATCCATTCCTGTAGCTGGATTACCTAATCAAGCATAAAATGAAGTATATCTTGCCTGCATTACTTGTAGCAGAAGCATTACAAAATCAATATACACTAAATTAAAAGGAAAGACTCAGATAAGTAATCCAAAGGATTCTGTAGTGCTCATCTATATAAGAATCATATTCTATTTTAAACAGCAGCATATAATGAAACAAAAAAGACAAATGGAAAGACTGAACTGGAGTTGTACCGCACAGTTTGTCCTATAATCCAGAATCAATTATACTTTAAATATTCTTATAGCAAATATCCCCAACTACTGGGGGAAAAAATCACCTAAAATCCTGAGGTATCCATTAAAACACTAAGTCCCATGAAAGACCCGATTACTTGGCGGGAAAAAAGAGTTTTGCAGCATACATTTCACCATCACTCTTATTCCTAAAAAATTGGAGCTTTTTTTTTGAAAAGTAAATTTGGAGTTGCATCCAATTTTATATAAACTATAAGACGATTACCAATTTATATTTAACAGCATTCTATTCCAAAGCAAACATCTTAACAGCTCAGAAAATTCATTTTAGGACAAGTGAAATCCTATTATAAAGGAAAACTTCTGTGACTATCTAACACTGAACTATTTCTGACGAGAAATACAGCCAAGTCATAAAATAACTAACTTGAGTAGCTATTTACTTTATATATAAAATTATAAATTTATGTATCAAGACAAATTCTCCAGCGGTAGTTTTATGCTGAGTCAGGAAAAGATGCTAAAATGGAAGGGTGCTCTTAGTTATTGTATTTCTTCTCAATTATGTACTTTTTAGAAATTATGGGTAGGACTTGGAGAAGAGGCAATAAAATTCTTTTTTTTTCTACTTCCACATATGGAACTACCTGAGATACAAAGAATCAGTCAGATGTAGTATCAAAAATGAAAGCTAACATGAGGCAGAGTTCCAAGCACCTTAGATGCATGGACTCCTGTTATCCTCATAAGACTAGGAGGCAGGTACCATTATCTTCAATTTATAGATAAGGAAACTCTGTAAAGTCTAATGAAATAACTTGCCCATGTCACACACAGGTAGTTAGAGGCATAAATGGGTTACAAATCTTGGAATTCTGGCTCTAGAATCCTGTATCATACTGCTTATATAAAATATCAAAATGTTCATGCAAAGTCATTCAGTAAATATTTGTTGAGCTCTACTATGTCCCAGGCACTGTTTTGGGCAGTAGAGATTCAGCAAGAAAGACGACAAAACGGCTGGCCTCTGAGAGCAAACATTCCTGTGTGTGTTGAGGGGGTGGAAGCAAGGAGAATGGTGGTGGTGATATCCAAAGAAATAATAAAATGTCAGGTGGTGATGATCCCTACTAGAAACAAGGATAAGGCATTAGATAACTGGAGGTGCTTTTTGAGAGAGGATTCTCGGGGGAGATCTTGGAACAGAGAACTGAACGAGGTGAGGGAGGAGCCATGTGGATATCTGGGAGCAGATCCTTCCAGGCAGAGGACACAAGTGCAAAGGCCCTAAGTAGGTGGCACAGAGGGCACAGTAGCTTGAAAGGAGTAAGCAAGAGGGAATAAGAGATAAGGTTGGATATTTCCAGGGTTTAATTACGCAGAGTCCTATAAATGATGGTAAAGGCTTAGTGTTTTCTCCTGAGATAAGTTACCAGAGGATTTTGAGCCTAACAGTGACATGATTTAATATTTTAAGAGGCTGCTGGGTAGAAACTGGACTATACAAAGATTCTGGCTTCTGTATGGAAAAAGACTGAAACAGGGAGGCCATAGTGGAAGCAGAGACACCATTAGGCTAATATAGTAATCCTAGAGATTATGGTACCCTGGACAAGGAGGTAGGTTGAGTAGTGAGAAGTGGCCAAATACAGGACAGTAGAGCCAAGAGGATTTCTTCATGGTTTGGATGTGGAGTATGAGAAAAAACCACAGTTCAAAATGAGTCTAAAATTTTTTACCTAGGTATTTGGGGGAATGGTATTACTATGTACTGATATGGGACACAATGGAGGAGAGGGTGTATGGGGAAGAAAGCAAGAGTTTAGTTTTGGACATGTTCAATTTGAGACGCCTATTAGATATCAAGAGAAGTCATATAGATAACTGCACATCTGAGTATGAGATTTACAAGAACGTTCTGGGCTGAAGACATAGAAAAATATAGAAAATCAGGAGAGAGATATCCTGGAATCCAAAAGAAAAAGCAATACAACGTTTTGAGAAGGACATTTGATTCACTGTGTTAAAAACTCGTGACAGAATAATAGGGAATAAGAATCCTCACTGGATTTGATGACCTGAACAATTTTCATGGAGTAGTGAGTATGAACGCCCAAAGACGAACATGTTCGAGACAGAATGAGAAGAGAAGAAATGAAAACCACGAGCACATATACATCTTTCAAGGCGTTTTGCTGTAAAGGGAAATAAAAAAATGGGTGGTAGCTGGAATGGGACAGGGAGGAAAAGCAAGAAAGGTTTTTCCTTCCATTTTTTAAAAATGCAGGCCACGTTTCAGCATGTTTATATGCTAATGGGAATGATCTAGAAGAGAAAAAATTGAGGGGACAATTAGAGGGACAAAGTACTTTAGGTGGTAAGGGGAAAAGAATTGGCCTTGAAAAGGAGCACAAACTGTTCATCCATTTTAACAGAAGAGAAAGCAGAATATGTGGACAGAGCAGCAAACTGGTAGATTGGTGATGATAACATGAGGTCCTCAATGAACTGAGAATGAGGAGGAGAGGGGAGGTTTTAAGAGAGAAAAAGTGTGAGGTGTTCTATGGAAGTCAGAGAATGGAGCAGATTGACAAGTGAAATGTAGCAGGACTGATGGGCAATACTGACAGCCCACTTAAGGTCTGTTGTCAAATTTAAAATGAGACCAGTTGGCATGGTTGTGTGTTTTGTTCTGGCTATCTTCTGCTTCTCAGGTATAGGTACGTAGCAAAAGAAGGGTGAATGGGGCTGGCCCGGTGGTGTAGTGGTTAAATTTGCACGTTGTGCCTCAGCAGCCCAGGGTTTGCAGGCCCGGATTCCGGGTTCAGACCTACATACAACTTGTCAAGCCACACTGTGGTGGTGTCCTACATATTAAAAAAAAAAAAAAAAAAAAAAAGAGGAAGATTGGCACAGATGTTAGCTCAGGGCCAATCTAGATAGATAGATAGATAGATAGATAAACAAACGAATGGGAGAATGAAATTTAACTAGGTTTACAATTTTGCCAGAGGAGCACAGAGGGAAAAGCAATGAAGAGAACTGAGAGTTTAGTCAAGGTAGTGGTTATAATGATGGACCGTGGAATCTATATAAAGTAAAGAGGGAAATGAGGACAGGAGAAAGTTGATGGACTGAAGTTGTCTTAGTAGGGTGGAGTATTGATGGAGAAGTGGGGGAAGAGTACTACACGTGGAATGACCTGGAAAGACAGGAGCTGGTTGCAAGAGTGGGATGCTTGAAAGTGAGAATTTGATGCTTGTACTGGCAAACACGAGGTATAGGTATGACTAGGGTAGAGGGTTAATGGTAGGGGAAAGGTCACTGAAGATCAAGAATCCAGGGCTGGATGAATCTATACGGATGCTGGTGTCACCATAGTTGATGACACAAACAGTAGCAGAGGAAAAACTAACAGGTGCCAAACACTTCAGTGGGATTGCAAGGTCATTTCCAGGGGGTTGTAGCACAGAAAATTACAACAAGAGGAGACAGGGAGTGGAGAAGTCTTACGGCATGTGCTTCAAAGAAGCTGGGGAAGGAGAAGGGGTTACTTTAGGAAGGAAGGAAAAATGGCCTGAAATAGTAATGAGGAAGAACAGAGACACACATTATATCATCTCTAGGTCCAACGGAATGTGAGATATGGGAGAAAAAAAAAAAAGGCCACCATTTAAGAGAAGAAGCCATACTTTAGTTAGAGCAAGGTTAAGAAATGTTCATAGAAGGTTGAGAATACAAAATTTTGCTGGTCATACACCCCGAGTTCAAGAGGGCACAATGCCATGTCTGTAGAGCTGGAGATGAGCGAGAGACTGGGTCAGAATTAGGGGATATACAGCATGGTGGAGAGATAAGAGGCCTAGCAGGCTTGGCCTTCTTGTAGTAGGTGAGATAAACAGCACTGTAGAGATGATAGAATTAGTACTGTGAGGTCTTATAGAGCAGCTGTCTTCAAACTTTTTTGCTCAACCCACCTCACACATTTTTAAAGCACATCTAAAACTTTTCATCACAGGTCTAAATATTTGCAAATAATGCAATTTCCAGTGAATACACTGAGATTTAAAACTATAACCATTACATCACTCTTTAAAATTTAGATAGAATTTAAATACCATCTAAATTTGATATCCACCATCATTTAAAAAATTAACAGACAAACCTTTAACAATTGGAAATTTTATGTCACATCTTTCTCCCTAACTTTGTATTTCCATTCCACCTCCTTCAGAGAATTTATCCTAATGTAACATAGCTTGATGGTCTAAAGTCTTTTATTGATCACTCTATATTACCTTACCACAGGAAAAATTCTCAAGTCTTCAGATGCTATAATTCCTCTCTCTTTTAATTGCTGTTAACAGTACCCCAAGAATCAAGAAAAAACAATTAAGAACAGGAATGAACTCAGTGTTCATCCCCAAAGAGAGTAAGTAAATTGCTGCAGGCTATACCACTAGTAATTGAGCGACATAGGACCTAACACCTGAGTCTTCTTACTTTCAATACACTGTTTGTTCCACTAGGTGATACTGCCTTTACACTAAATAATAATAAAACACAAAAATGAAGCTACTCTCAGTAACGAGAGAGCATAAGAGCTCAAGCTCTTGAAGAATGGGGGTGAAAACAGAAATATATATCTGCATTAAAAGTTTTCCTACCTTATTTTTTTTAACTCCATTTGTAATAGTTTGAAGTAGATTTGGTGGAGAAAGCTTTGAAGCATTTCTTGTTGATCTCTGAGGTATTGTTATATGAAATTTTGGAGTGGCAAGCACAATTTTACATGTATCATTCACAGAACCTGGAAGATCAGTCTCTTTGGGCGTTGTTTTCTCATTTCCTTCCTCAGTTTCTTGCTGTGAAGTCCCTTCTGTTGTCACCTTACTATCAGAATCCATTACTTGACTGCCATTTTTAATAGGATCACAGTCGGTATTGAGAGTACCAACAGCAGTATTTTGGGATTTTTCGTAGGCAGAATCAGCGCCTTCTAAAACAAACGTGTCCTTTTTGGTCTTAGTGGTTGCAGCTGCGTTCTCTTTTGAGTGAAGAATTTGTTTAGCCAACTGAGCTCTAGTTAATGCCTTGTTTGACACTCCTGCAGATGATACATTTTCATGTTCTTGACTCAGAATTGGAAGCTCTGCAAAAAATACAAAACCAAACAAAATTTACAGAAGGACCACATGAAATTAACAGAGAGAAACAGGACAATTTAAAACTGTTTGTATTAAAAAAAATAGTCTCCCTGCCCAGTCTTTCTCTAAGTGCCTCTGGCTTTTCCAGTTCAATGTTTTATCCACAATCAATGATTATTGCTTAGGCAGGGAAAATAATTATCTAGAACACTTAACCGCACATTCAAATAACAAACCGAAAAACAAACAAAACAAAAAGCGCTTTACCATAAGTTAAATTGTGCAGAGGTGCTTTCTTGTTCTGCTGACATCGAATCTTTTGCTTGACCAGATGGAAAATATTATTTGATGATTCTAGAGGAGCTTCCTGGACTGAGGTTATTTTTTTTAAAGAAAGAAGAAGTTGAATTGTATTAATCACTGAGAAGAAAAAAATGCTTTTTAAAAATCTTGAAATAAAGACAGCTTTAATAATGATCAGCTTAATATAGCATACTTCTGTAACAAATGACAGTTATGTAAACTTTTCCCTTTATTATCTTCTCATGCCTTCACTGCATCCTCTATACCTACAATGTGCTGAGAATTTTTTTTTTTTAAAGATTTTATTTTTTTCCTTTTTCTCCCCAAAGCCCTCCAGTACATGGTTGTATATTCTTCGTTGTGGGTCCTTCTAGTTGTGGCATGTGGGACGCCGCCTCAGCGTGGTTTGATGAGCAGTGCCATGTCCGCGCCCAGGATTTGAACCAACGAAGCAGCGGAGCACGCAAACTTAACCACTCAGCCATGGGACCAGCTCCATGTGCTGAGAATTTTTTAAAAACTTCTCCAGGTTACAACTTGCCAACTCCAGACAAAAGTATACTACTAGACTGAGAAGCCTAGAGCTGGAATAAAATTCTGGTGCTGCCACAAAGCAGATATGTTTAAGATTATATATGAAGTATCATCAATCTTAAATTCTGATTCTGCTTCTGGTTGTGGTGAATTTCTAAAACGTGAAAGAACAGTTGTAGAGTTGTAACCTATACTTTAAAAATCAAAATGTTGAGACTCAATAGCAGACTCAACCATAATTTATACCCCTTTGACATCTCTTTGGCAGGCCTTCAAAATCACAAATCTGTTAGGCTTATCAACCAGACAAATAGGGACTAGTAGCATTGCTTACATTTTATTCTGCTTTACGTCCTAGATTGTTAAAGTTTTGTTTCTTTTTCTTCTTCTTTTTTTTTTTTGAGGAAGATTGGCCCTGAACTAACATCCGCTGCTAATCCTCCTTTTTGCTAAGGAAGAGTGGCCTGAGCTAACATCTGTGCCCATCTTCTGCAATTTTATATGTGGGACACCTACCACAGCATGGCTTGATGAGCAATGTGCAGGTCCGCGCCTGGGATCCGAACCAGTGAACCCTGGGCTGCTGAAGCGGAGTGCACTAACTTAACCACTATGCCACCAGGCCAGCCACTAAAGTTTTGTTTCTTGAATACAGAAATGAGTCTCTTTCACATACAACGAGGAGGATAATAGACTTAAAATTTGTGCCAGAGAACGAAAACAATTATTTTATATGTTGAGTTTTAAATATTATACTTGAAAAGAAATTGGTAGTGATTATGCTTTAATAAGTATGCTGCTGTGGATTTAGAAATCTTAATACAAAGATTTTATTACAATGATGTGTTGTAAGAGAAGGATAAGTTTCTATTTCTTTAACTCATTCTACTAGAAATGGCGGGGCAATACACTAAAGACAAGCAGATAATCTGATCAAATATAATATGTTGCAGAATTTAGGTCATTTGAGAGTCCAAAGTCCATGCAGCAACTCTCCACAAAAGATCTCTGAAAGTATATATAAAATTTGTGTTTGTATATATGACCATTTTCTGGGGGAAAGAGTCATTAGAGTCTCAAAGCAGTCAGTTATTTCTTCCTACTTCCACTTTACAAATAAAATGTGCTTTAATTTGCATTATTTCATTTGCTTCTCCCCCTTCTTCCAGGTTGTATGAAAAATAGATTATTTTGTGTACTACCCCACCCCCATCCTAAATTCCCTTAGAAAACTCTGCTTTTTGTGTCAAAATACATCACTGTCTTTGAAACACAACAATATATGCACAACCTCTTGTGTACTAGTTAAGAGCAGGGGCTTCCTAAGAGATACCTGTGTTTAATTCTCAGCCTGTCACTTATTACCTATAAGACACAGAGCAGACATAATTTCTTTATAAGCCCCATTTCCTACACTATTAAATGAGCATCTACCCACAGTGGCTGCTGAAAGGACTAAAAGTAATAATGCATGTAAAATATCTTTATCAATTACTGCATCTCATTAAAATCTCAATTTCAAGTGTCCCAATTTCTGACCACTTTCTATCTTTCCAGATTTTTCTCTCAAATCCACTGACTATCCCAACAAGATGTACACTTATTCACACTTCTTCAACTCCTTCAGGTCCTCTTTTCCCTGTCTAACCAACTTAAATTTCACAGCCAATTGTGGTCACCCCCCTGCACATACACCCCAACTCCTCTGTCCTTCTCTCGCTTCATCCTATTTGGCAAAATTACAATCCTGATAAAATCCAACTCCCTACCTATTCCCCACCAGCACCAGTGCAGCTGAACAGGGCTAGAGGACAACTCACAATCATACAATTCGTCTCCTTTAAATTCGGGCCCACAAATCTCAAGTAGCTCCTTAATGTTGCCCAGGAAATCAAATTTAGGCCTAGAGCGCTTACTCTTCCACACTCTTCAAACCCGCACCTCCTCAAACCTGAATACCCGCTTCCCATACTCTCAGCTGATGACTTTACTTCCTATCTCAAATCATTTCTGAAGTCACACAACACTGTCTACCTTCCTGTCTGTTTGATCTGTTTATGTTCCTAGCTACGGCCAAACCTCCACTTTTAGATTCTATTCCCTGTCAGCTCCTCAAGGGTACCATACTCCCCACCTCAGTTTTTCCTTCCCTACTGGATCATTCCCAACAGCATACAAAAGCGTTGTTATTTCACCAATCATTAAAAACAACAATAAAATCTTTTTAAACCATATTTTCCGTACTTCGTGGCTCCCCACAAAACAGTTGTCTATATTCACCACTGTCAATTTCTCTCCTCATACTCTCTCTTGAATACATGTTTGCTATCACTCCACCAAAACTGCCCTCATGCAAGTCACCTGTGACCTCCACGCTGCTAAATCCCACGGTCAGATCTCAGCCTTCATCTTACTTGACTGATTAGCAGCATTAGATACAGCGATGACTCCTTCCTTAAAGCATTCTGTTCTCCTGGCTTCCAAAGTATCACTCCAGATTTTCCTTGTTCCTCATCTTCTTCTCAGTGGCCTCCACTACTTTCTATGTTTTATTCTCTTCTAAATTTTGGGGTGCCCCAGGACCATCCTTGAATGTTTTCTCTTTGTACACTTATACCTTGATAATCTCATTTAATCTGATAGTTTTTAATGCCATTTAGGTGCTAATAATTCCCAAATGTATTTTCTCACCTGGACCACTTTCCTAAATTCCAACTAATTTTTTTCAAGAGCCTAATTCACATCCTCACTTCAATTTTTAACAGGCACAAAATTAACATCACAAAAAACTTAATTACTGAGCCCCAGACCCTACTCTTTCTTCAGTTGGCCCCACTTCAGTTAAACTGCTCCATCCTTCCAGTTGCTCGGGCAAAAACCCCAAAAACAAACAAACAAAAACACCCTGGAGTCATCCTTTATATCTCTCTCATGTTCCACACCCAATCTATGAGCTAATTATTGGCTCTTCCTTCAAAATATATCCAGAATCTAACCACCTCTTATCATCTTCATAGCTACCATCTGGACCAAGCCAACACTCTCTCTCACTCGGATTACTTAAGTAACTATTTCAAATTAACAGGCAGAGTGATATTTTTAAAATATAAGTTAGATCTTGCCATTCCTCTGCTCAAAACCTACAACGGCTCCTTATTTTGCTCACAGTAAAAGCCCAAACTCTTACATTCACCTATAAGGCCCTACATTATCTGACCCTCTCTTATTTATCCCCTCGTCCCCAGCTCTGTCCACTCTCTCTAGGATACACTAATCTCATAGCTAGTCCTTGAATTTGTGAGGCATGCTCCTATTTCGGGGCATATGCACCAGCTGTTGCCCGTCTGATCACCCTTCCCCATTCCCCAAGTTAGCTCTCTGTATCTATCACCTCCTTCAATTTTTTGGCTCAAATGCCACCAACCTTCTCATTGAGGCATACACTGACCAGCCCCACTGAAAATAACCACCCGCTCCAACTCTCCCCATCATCCTTACTCTGCTTTTTCTTTCCATAGCACTTCAACTGCACCACAAAAATTGCTTATTTAATTAGCTGTCTCCCACCACCTGGATGTGAGCACTAGCGCTACATGAGGGTAGGGATTTTTAGCCATTTTGCTTACTGCTATATCCTGAGAACCTAAAGTAGTGCAAAACACAATAAACACTGAACACATTATAGCTTTTTAACCAACACATAATGAAGCTAACCTGTTAGCGAACTGTTGTCTGACTGGAATGATTTGTTGTTTTCCTTTTCTTCACAGATGTAGGTGTGACGCAATACTCTTTGCTCAGCTCCGTTACGAGTGAAAATGTTATTACTTTCACTCCTTGGTGGCTCCAACAAATTGTTTCTTGATGCTTGTTCTTGCTTGTCACGCAGTACTTTTTCTTTCATTCTTTGAAATATTTTTCCTGGTGATTCATAGTTTGCTTTATTTTTCAATCCATCCTTTTTGGGCTTTATAGCACTGATATCAAGAGAATTGTTAGAGGTGGTAGCCTCTGCTAGCATGGTAGACTGAAATATATTTTTATTATTAAAAACTGTCATTTCTAGGAACTGATTCTTTTTGTGATCATTCGATTTTAAAGAGGAGTTCTGATATCTTGCCAAATCTTTTACAGGAGTAAGTGTGCCCGAAGGAATATTGTCAAAAAAGATTGCATGCATGGGTATATTTCTCCTTGGAGAAGACGTCTCTGAAGACAAGTGAATTCCTGGATGTTTCAAAGGTGTTGCAATCATCTTGCTAAACAGTAGCTACAAATTTTCTTCTAACAGAAAATTCACTTAAACAGAATTTTCAGGATAGACCTTCAGCAGGGACCCAGGGCAACCTGTAGTCAATGTGAAATCAATCTTTATCATGCTTTAGTGCAGACAAAGTCAAGTTTATTTGCTTTCCATAACAACATTATACTAATTAAAAGGTTTAACTGGTTCATAACAACACTGGATAATCTACAGCTCACAAAACAGACTGAGATTTTCTATTTTAAAGTCTCATTTTATTATTATTTTTCAATAGATGAGTAGTTTGGTCTTTAAATTTGTCTCTAAAAAAAAGCAGTATACATCAAATCATCTACTTAACAGCTCTAGGAATTGAATTTTGAGTATTTTTTTTTTATATCTACTTAAAACTCAAGTCCTGGAGGTTCCAATCTAATATTTGCATCAAAAGCATTAAATGACATCTGCACGTGGCACTATATTGGATTATAAAAGATTAAGTTCACAATATAGTTTTCTCTTTAGCACTTAAATTTTAAGGCAGCAGCTACAATGATATATCCTAGTGAAAGCTGAAAAATCCACTCAATTTTTTAGTTAAATAATTCCCAATTCTGATTTTGTTATGCTGCACAACATTTTTTTTTTTTAAAGATTTTATTTTTTTCCTTTTTCTCCCCAAAGCCCCCTGGTACATAGTTGTATATTCTTTGTTGCGGGTCCTTCTAGTTGTGGCATGTGGGACGCTGCCTCAGTGTGGTTTGATGAGCAGTGCCATGTCTGTGCCCAGGATTCGAACCAATGAAACGCTGGGCCACCTGCAGCGGAGCATGCGAACATAACCACTTGGCCACAGGGCCAGCCCCGCTGCACAACATTTTAATTATGAGGTTTTAGTCGAAAAACCCTCAAAAGTAAATTATATTTATTTTAATTTTTAAAGAATTTAATGCTATTTAGAATTTTTAGAGAAAAACATGTACTTGAGCATACATGGTCAGACTTGCTTTAGCTTGTTTCTTATGTGTGAATTTATTTCCCATACCTAGAAATTAAGATTCTAAGTGATGAACCATACAGTTGCATTCTCTAACACTTGGTAAATAAATGAAATATTTCAACCCAAGGAGCTTGGAACTTACTAGTCTAGATTTACAGCATCTCTTATTGCTGAATTTATAAATATTCCAATCAGTCTTTGACATCATATAAACATAAAAAGCCTAGCAGAGAAATTACTAATGCAGTCAGACCAAAGACATCAAGTATCCTTACCTACGGTAACTTCTGTGAGAAATAAATATTCAAGTTAAAAATTCATATACAAACTATGATTTTATCCAGTAGTTTATAAGAGAAAAAAAGAAGAAAATATTCCTCAATAACAAGAGCTGACTATATCTTGGGAGTCTAGTCCTGTGACACAAAAACCACCGAACTCTTTCACAGAAAGTTAATCCAGCAAGTATGTGTTAAAGCATATACTTATGTGTTTGGCAATGTGCTAGTGACAGGAATCCTGTGCTGGGAGTTATAACACTCACTAGCTGTTCAGTTTAAACACTCAAAACCAAAAATGAAGAAACTGGAACAATTGCATGGAAAAATGGCAAAGTATGCACAGGTTTACACAATCTCAATTCCTCAGAACTGAATGAAATGCTCAACAGGCAGTATAAACTGCAATGAAGCCAGAAGAACCGAAAACAGGCCCAATCTGTAGTACACATACATAACTGTTTTGATCTAAAGGCAGATAATTATGGTCACATCAAAGGCTCCAAGAACTAGCACATAACTCCTCTCTTCATGTTGCCCAACCTCTTCCGTCCTAATTCAAGCATGTAGTAGAATGGAGAGGTGACTAGTAAAGATTCTGAAAATCCTCAAACTCCACTCCCCCTCCAAAAAGACACAGCAAATTCCTTCAGGAGCCCCTCTTTCCCACTATGTGATATATAGAAACAACAAAAGCCAAAAGAGTTGCCAATAGTTGCCAGTGGTTTCAGTGAGACTGGTGGAAGAGAGAAGGATGTAGAGGGGAAAAAAAACCACCTAGGATTTTCTGACCATACAGGCTTTGAAGAACAGCCACAGAACAAAAACAAAAAGCCACTGTGTAGAGGCCACTCAAGAAACACTTGAAGCCCCACTCTCCTCCTAGTTAACGGAAGAGCAAAACAAAGAAAACAAATCATCAGGCTCAGACGCTGATGAAACAGACAGACATCAGACAATGGCGATTCAGTAAGTGGCATTCCTCAAGTTGAGGAAAGAACAGAGTGTCCTGAAGTCAGGTATGCTTGACCTAACAGATGGAGGCCTCTAACAATTGAGATCATTAGCTCCTTCTAGGATTGGAGAAGAGAAGGTGAATTCTAAAATAGTATGCTTGTACTTTCATTAACTGATTAAAGCTATTTGGAAAATACAACCCTTATAATTTATTCTGAAGGCTGACAAACAATGTACTAGGAAACAACTGCTACTTATTCAAAATACTCAGACACGGGAAACCATTATAAGAAAGGGTTAGTTATGAGCATTTATAGTACATGTAAATACAGAAGAGAGGCCAAACAACTGTTACTATCATAGACATAATATTAAATCTGTTACTCTTCTTCCCAAAAGGATATGAAAAGTTCTTCTAGGAATTTACTGCTGTGGTAGCAGTAGTAATAATAATAACTATTATAATGGAATGGGTCAAAAATCCCAAAGCACACTAACCCAAACTGTGAGGTGGAGGTGGGAAAAATGAGAGGAATTAAAAGTTAACTGGCAAGTGATACACTTTGAAGAAAAAAAAACATGCAGCACATGACATAAGAGGAACTAATAGATATAACATTCACAGAGACCAAAGGAATAAATTTTTTAAAACGATCAACACAGATCTGATGTCAGCTTCGTGGCAGAGTAAGTTGCTCCCTCTTTCTCTCCCCTCTAAGTTACAAGCAATTGGACATCTGCTGACCAAAAGAGAATTCTCTACACAGCACAACAGGACACATAAGCAATCCATGCATCTATACATCAGAAGGTGGGTAGACTGGAACCCTGGGAGGCAGTGGAACTAGGGGAGCAGCCCCATCTCCCTCCCAGGGGCAGTGATCCAGGGCTCACATCCTCACGCAGCAACTTGTGCGACTGTGAACAGAGGAGCTGGTGAGTGCTCCATCCCACGTGACTGCAAACAGACACAGCGGGAGCAGAAAAAACAGCTCCTGCCCCCCTCCCAGTGGTGGCAGGTGGAACCTGCAACTACAGGCATCAGGAACCACAGCACAAGTGACCCAGCCCCCAGTGGTGGCTCCCCCACCAGACACCAGCTCCACCAGCAGCAAGAACTGCATAAAAGTCCCCCAGTCCCCAGCACCCTCAAAGCAGTGCAACCAGCATTTCCAGACAACCTGGGAGCAGCAGCACAGGTGGCGCAGAGGGCAACAGCACCCGAGCCTGTGGAGAGCCCATGGAGAGGCAGCAGAGCAACACCAGACTCAGGCAACACCAGCAGCAGCAGAAGTGCTTGCAACCTGGTGACCCTGGTGGTGACACCTCAGACTACAGTGGCATCGTAAGCAGCAAGGTGCCAGCAACCTCAGAGGCACAACACAGCACAGTGATGAAGCCTCTGCCAGCGGCAGTGGAGGGTGGAAAGTAGAGGCTTTCAAATACAACCAGGAGCCCAGAACCAAAGTAACCAAAGCTGTACCCAGATAAGAAAAGGAGGTAACTACCACAAATGTGCTGGCAGAGGATCACTTCATCAAACACCATGAAGAACTACAGTAAGACTGCAGAACAGAATGACAGCAACAATTCTCCAGAAACCACACTTGAAGTGACAGAAGATTACAGTCTACCTGATAGAGAATTCAAAATAGCTGGCATAAAGAAATTTAAAGAGTTACAAGAAAACTCAGAAAGAGAGTTCAATGAGCTCAGGAATAAAATTAATGAACATAAGTACTCCACCAAAGAGACTGAAACTTAAAAAAAAAAATTCAAACAAAATACTGGAGATGAAAAAGAATGTAGAAAGCATTAAAAATAGAGCAAACCATATGGAGGAGAGAATTAGTGAGCTCAGACAGAAACCTAGCAATGATTCAGATGGAAGAGAGAGAACTACAACTTTAAAAAAAATGAAGAAATTCTTTGAGAAATATCTCACTCAATTAGGGAAAGTAACATAAGGATTATAGGTATCCCAAAAGGAGAAGAAAGGTAGAAAAGAGCAGCCAGCTTATTCAAAGAAAGAATAGCAGAGAACTTCCAAAACGTGTGGAAGGAAGTGGAGATGTGAGTACACGAAGCTGACAGAACTTCTAATCACCTCAGTGCAAAAAGACCTTCTCCAAGGCATATAACATTCTAATTCTCATGGGTTGCCCCGTGGCCTACTGGTTAAGTTTGGCAGGCTCTGCTTTGGTGGCCTGGGTTCAGTTCCTGGGTGTGGACCTAACCTACTCATCAGCGGCCAGGCTGCGGTGGTGACCCACATATAAAATAGAGGAAGACCGTCACAGCTGTTAGCTCAGGGTGAATCTTCCTCAGCCAGAAAAAACCCAGAAAACAACTACTGTCAAAAGTCAATGACAAAGGAAAAATATTAAGGGCAGCAAGAGAGAATAAAATAACCTACAAAGAAATCCCCATTAGGCTTTCAGTGGACTTCTCAGCAGAAACCCTACAGGGTAGGAGAGAGGGGAATGATACAGTCAAAATACTGAAAGACAAAAACCATCAGCCGAGAATACTCTACCTGGAGAAATGATCCTTCAGATATGATGGAGAAATAAAAGCTTTTCCAGACAAACAAAAACTCAGGAAGTTAATTGCCACTAGACCTTCCTTACAAGACATGATGAAGGGAGCCCTCCTACTTGAAACAAAAAGGCAAAGAGATTTACAAAGCTTGGAGCAAGGAGATAAATAGACAGAATTAGAAAATTGCAGCTCTATAGCAGAATAGGTTAGTAAACACTTAATTGTAAAAGATAAAGAGAAAGAAAGCAGCAAAAATAACTATAACCACCTCAATTTTGTCGGAAACTCACAACACAAAACAGAATAATTTGTGACAAGAATAACACAG